TGTAAGTTTCATAATAACGAATAACGAAATTTGACGAAATTTGCAATTCTTTATAATTATAATATGATAGATATATTGACAACGAAATTTGCAATAGTTTATAATTATAGTATGATAGATATATTAATTACCATGATTTAAATCACATCCTTATTTTTATTGTTTGAATTAAAAGACCAAACCGCACCTTGAACTCCTGTTCACGAAAAAAGCGTGGAAACGAATGCCAGCATAAGCCAGTAGATTGTCCACTAGGCTGCTTGGATTAAAAAAACTGTAGAAAAATTGCCAAGGTGTATCGATGGCGCAAAAAAATGCATTTTTTTGTGAAATAAATAAAGTAATGTAGCTTGATTTCATTTCTTTTCACGCACAAGCTTTGTGCTCAGTAAAACGCCTTTGTTGTGTGGTCTGGGAAAAGCCGCGTTCGGGACGAGATGTTATTTTACAACATCGAAATGACTAGAGTTTTTCGAACTACTTCGATTGAGCTAGTAATCCCTTCAGGAGAAGTAACGAATGTCAGGATTGCCAGCTCATTGACTACCAGAAGATGCAGCATTTTGATCAAAATTGTTGGAGAAACTGCCAGTTGCATAGTTTAAGGATCAAATTATAAATTGGCGCTGATCCAAGTGTTTCAAATAATCATTAGTGTTAGGCCCGCACGTATTCTTTGACTGCAGCAGCGATAGACAGGGGAGAAACACCAGCAGTTTATTCTTCCAATAAACACTTCACTCCAGAGAAAACGCCGGATAAGATGACGGTCAAATGACGAGCGGGAGGACGCGTAGGACAATGAACCGAGGCACCGCACAAGCTGTGCAACAGAAGAACGCCGGCGGTGGGGAGGCAAGACGATAGAGGCGTTGGGTGTGACAGTCGAATGGCGCTGTTGACTGACGGTTCCCACCAACTGAGGGTTTGGATGTGGGAAGAGGTTTATATGGGGAAGATTAATGGAGGGAAAAGTAGGATAAATTAGTTAGTGAGTGGGAAGATAGATAATATAGAAACATTTAGAATTTGGTGGAATTGTTAGAAGTTATTAAGACGAGAGGAAGTAGGTCGAAG